TTAAAATCCTTCTAGACAGATTTGAATATTGCTAGTACAGTAATAACTAATAAGGTTACTTTTAAAATTTCTATGACCATGTTTGATGGGAAAGTAATAAATTCATTGGTGGATGCAAAGTCAACTCAGTCTTGTTATGAGTATGGTTGTAAGCCCAAAAAAATGAATGATATAGATTTAGTTAAAAAAAAAAGCCTGTAAATGAGAAAGCCCTTAAACTAGGTATTTCAAATTTGCACTGTTGGATAAGATCTTTTGAATTCATCTTACATTTAGGTTATAAAATGGAAATCCAGAAGTTTCAAGCCAGAACTGAAAAAGAGAAACTTACTGTAAATTTAAAGAAGAATTTTATTAAATCAAAGTTCAGAGAAAAGTTGAGTCCCATTGTTGACCAGCCAAAGTTGGGTTTGGTAATAGAAATGATGAAAATACTTCAAGAAGAGCATTTAAAAACTATGTAATTTTCTTCAAAATAACAGGGGTTGATATAAAAGTTATAAAGAGAATACACATATTCCTTATTACAATATCCTCTGGGTACCATATCTATAGTAATCAATTTGAAGTTAACTGTACTGATAAAGCTAAAATTATAGTTAATAAATATGGTTGGTATATAATGCCACCTAGTGTTCACAAAATTCTAATTCATGGTTGTTCCATTTCAAAACAATTTGATTTGCCGATTTCCCAATACTCTGCGGTTGCTCAGGAAAGTCTAAACAAGCAAACCCGAAATGTAAGGTTGCATCACACAACAAAAATATCGAGATTTAACACTATGAAAGATCAGATGCACTACCTTTTGATGAGATCGGATGAGTGCTTTGGTGTGGATTAAAAGTTCAAAAATATATTACAGTTAATGAATGACGTATTTGATGAAGATAAGTGTGGCCCACTTGTGGAACACATAATGCGGTTCACATAACTTTTCCATTTAATGTGGCATAATCCTTAACTAAATACGTGATAAATTTGATGTGGCTATTATATGGACCATACATATAAAACTCACGATCTTGCCTCATTTTAAGTTTTAAATTTCAACTAATTGTAATATTCTATTGCAATGCATTGTAAACTCTAGAATATTCCATGATGTCATGTGGCCTACCGTTTTGATTCATAACTGTTGTAAGTATGTTTGAGCAATAAAAATAAATATACATAAAAGAAAAAGTGTAAATATATAAAATAAAAAACAAAAACCTAGATGTGTTAGGACTTTTATTTATTGTAATATACAATTTGTTATCATTACTAAACTATGCTGTTTTTTTTAGTTTTATTTTATGAGTGATTTAGATTATATAACGGCATATTGTTAAAAGAATATTATTTAAAACTATATTACTCATATACAGGGCCGTACTGACGGGGGTGTGTGTAGGATGGACACCCCTCCCCCCCTCCCTCTGTCTAGATTTACAAAATTCTGTCGGTTTTTGTTGGAAAATTGGAAGATTTGGGACTCTGTCGGTTAGAACTGATATTTGGCTTCTAAAAAGAAAAACCCTTGTCTGTAAAGTTAGCTTTTTTCCTTTGTACCCCCCTCCTTCAAGCCTTCGTCGTTCGGTACGGGACTGCTTATATATAAGTAAACAATATATATTCTAGAATTTATAAAAAACTGTAAATGTTTATAATTTTATTATAAAAAAATAAAAATAAAAATGTTTGAGCGGTTTAGTAATGAATATATTAGAGAATCGTTGTTCTAAATAAACTTTTTTTTAGGCTTTCACGTTATTATAAATAATTATCATTACAAACTTGCGATTTAATAAATTTGTATATTGCGATTTAGTATATTTGTATATTTAGTGTATTTATTTTTTTTATATTCCTTATGATAATTTAGTTTTTTATTAGTGTTTTTTTTGGTTCTGTATAAATGGTAGGATATAATAATCAACAGATGGTAGACTGAAGAAATAAATATGACTTCTTCATGCAATCGAAGTAAGGGGCTTGCTTATATTTAGTGTGTTTTTAGTGGGATAAACATTAAAGCCACATATGAAACGCGCCAACGCCATCCCATAAAGGAGAGTGGTAAATATATGGCTAACATGTGATTTCCACACGTGGGCCACATGAAACTTTCACTCACAAATGAAGAGTGGCGTTCGTTCTTATTTAGTGTAGTTTTAGTGGGATAAACATTACAGCCATATATGGGACGCATCAACGCTATCCCATAAAGGATAGTGGTAAGCATATGGTTAGCATGCAAATGCCATACATGGCCCACTAAAATTTCTTGTCGTGAAGCAACTCTTCTTTCACAAGTACTTCTGATGTTACATATCCGACAAATACTGCCATTTAAAGTTTATCTTGAATATCTGTTGATTCATCCAATGCTAAACTTAATGCTACACATTTTTTTAAGTGATTTTTCAAATGTTGTTCAACTTCGACACCAATTTCAGATACTCTTCTATCAGTTGTATGTCAAAAAACAGAAATGTTTAAAATTAACCTCTAAATTTTGCTACTTTTGGATCTAAAACTGAGATCATATCTAAAATATTTTTTTTTACAAATTCTCCATCGGTGTAAGTATGTTTACTTCTTGCAATATTCCAAGCTATAATAAAACTTGCTTTTGTTGTAATATTTGATTCTTTGCTGGAAGATAAAATACTCCTTTGTTGATTTAATTTAATATTAATAATATGCGGCTCGCGAGCCGCTGTTAGGCCATCTCTGGAACATTATTATTGTCTTGTATAATATAACATTTTATAACAATTTTTGTCTTCGTGTATACGATGTATATTTTCATTGTATATATGTCATTGTATACTATAATTTTATTCAACAATATTACTTTGTAATATTGTTTATTTAAGCTTTTTACAAATTGTGGGCAAAAAATTTTTATTTTTAGTTGATTTAGACTGTAATTATAGTTTTATCAAAAACTATAATTACAGTTTTGATATAAATATCTATATAAAATAACAAATATAGTCTAAATAATTTTTAGATTTAATATTTTATATATACTAAAACTAAATTAAAGTCAAATTGATAAAAAAAATCTAAGATATAAGCTTTTTTTTCTTTTTTTATATTGTTATTTAGGTTCCCCAAGAAGACCTAACGGTCTTGTCACAGAGCACTGCGGAAGTGCATTTTAACTAGGAAGTTCTCGCCTCCTTTCTTATCGTGACGAGAAAATATGTCCAAAGCTTGTTTCGAACCTGGATGTCCTGCTTCTAAAGCAAGCGCTCTAACCACTGCGCCACGGCCGCACTATAACCTACTAATGTAATAGTAATGAAACTAGTAACTTACAATCAATCTATTTCAAACAACTCTTTTTGAAACTTTTAGTTATTATTATTTAGATTTCAATGTTACTTCGAGATGAAATTAAAAAATTGCGCACGCATATAACAGTTGTTTCTAGATCATACCCCAATCTCAACGATTTTATGGTATTAGTATTTTGTCAAACAATGAAATACTGGAATGGAATGCTGCCTCTCCGAAACTCTCAGTCAATGTGAGTTCACTTCACTGCGCCTATCCCTAAATCAGTAGATATATGTCATAGATATATGTCACAGTCACTACCTTTATCCCTAAGTAGTTTATTGTTCGGCAGATTACTAAACTCGTTAAATTCATTGCGAGCAAGATATGATCTAGACACAACCACATTTAACAACTGCCAAATAAAATATCTAAAAAAAGTCAACCATAAAACTAAATATTTTTGACCGATACTATTAAAACAAAATTTTAGTTTTAGTTTACATGTTTATTTGATCTGTGTTTCATTATAAAAGTCACACTTCCAAATGTAATTCAGACGTCTTTTGAACGTTCCACGCTGACCAAAAAAAAATATTTTGGTTTCAAAAAGGTCTAGGACATTCAGGACGTAAACTGAAATATATTGTACGTTTTTTGTACGTCCAGTATTTGCTGGGTAATAAATAGGTTGGTGGGAATTTTTCGCAGATTAAAAATTTAACTATTTCGAGTGAGGCTTAGAATCAAATGCGCATTTTTTAACAGCTGTTTCATCATAATTTAAATAGGATTTATCATGCTTATAAGCATATTTCAAACTTATATAAATATAAGTTTTATACTATGGCGAGAAAAAAAACAACCTAACTTTTTAAACAAATTGTACTAAAGGAGATTTTTTAAAGGTCTTTAAGTTTTTAATCCTGATTAGAAAGCTTTTTATCTTATTAGTGACTAATATATATTTTCTGATTTTATTTTTTCGTTTTGAGATATTTTGTTGATATCATATAAAAACTTATAAACGTTTGAAGAAAGGAGGGGTATTAATAACTTGGGGTGGGTGGAAAAAGTCACCTAAAGGTGATTTTTATAATTGATATGTAGTTATATTGTTAAAACGGTTAAAAAGAAAATTTTTTATTTTATACTCATACTCTTAGGTGTTTAATACACGGGAGAGAACGTTTATTAATTTTTGAAAATTTTATTTTGCTAAAAGAAATATATAAAAGAATAGTTATAGAAGCTAGTTTCATGACCAAATATATTTCATGGAACTAAGAACATATTGTTTTATATATTTTTTTTGGCACCTAATTAATTAATTTCTTCTTGCTCTTTATTTTTCTTCTTTTTTCCAATATCCCACTATTTTTGAAGTTGGTTAGACTAAGTTGATCAATTAAATTGAGCAACCCTTTTCTCGTTATCACTCAGCCAATATTGCTACACTTAATGACTTTGTTGATCATCATACCTAACTTGTGTTCATTTTCTCTTTGTTCTGAGTGATTCAGATTATGCTATGATCTCATTAACCTACTTTCAATCTTGAAAACCATTAACGTTAATGAAACCATTAATGTTAAAGAAAACAACAAAAAAAATTTCGAAAATTTAATAGCATAAATAACGAAACAATAAAAAAAACTATTGCATCTTTATTATTGATTTTATTCGACAACTTTACAAATTTTATAAATTTTTAAATCTTAACTTAGTTGCTACTCAATGATTGGAAGACAAGGTGGTAGACAAGATATATCTCTAGGAAATGGATGTGGATACAAGGGAATAGCAATTCACGAAATGATGCATGCACTGGGATTCTTTCATGAACAATCAAGAAGAGACAGAGATAAATATATAAGAGTGAACTACCGGAATATCCAGAGTGGTAAATAGTTAAAAATGATTTTGTTTTAACATAAAACGTTGGAAATTTAAAAAGGAAAAAAATTTTGTAAATATTTATTTATTTTAAATTATTATTTATGATAATACTTTTTAAATACTCTTTAAATATTTGTTTGTATAAACTAAGATTATATACTTAATATTTATTTCATAAAAATTATATTTTAACTTTTTTTTTTCAGGAATGGGTTACAACTTTGATATGTACAGATATGGAGAAGCTTTAACTCTTGATGAACCTTACGATACGAATTCTATAATGCATTACGACAAGTATATAAGAAACGGCTCTAGAAGACTTTTATATATATATATATATATATACATATATATATATATATATATATATATATATATATATATATATATATATATATATATATATATATATATATATATATATATATATATATATATATATATATATTTAATAATTCACTTCCTCAAGGCCGAGAAGGCTACTACAGTCGAGGAGGCTACTTATTTGCGGTTATAACCCTCTCTCAACTCTATAACTCCGAAACACAAACCTTGACAAACAAGGTCACTGCGCGGAGAAACGAGTTGAGTGCGGTATTACCAGGGACGTGGTGGGGATCGAACTCGGAACGTCTCGCTTATGAAGCGAGTGCTCAACCACTACACCACTACCGCATATAATATATATATATATATATATATATATATATATATATATATATATATATATATATATATATATATATATATATATATATATATATATATATATATATATATATATATATATATATATATATATATATATATATTTAATAATTCACTTCCTCAAGGCCGAGAAGGCTACTACAGTCGAGGAGGCTACTTATTTGCGGTTATAACCCTCTCTCAACTCTATAACTCCGAAACACAAACCTTGACAAACAAGGTCACTGCGCGGAGAAACGAGTTGAGTGCGGTATTACCAGGGACGTGGTGGGGATCGAACTCGGAACGTCTCGCTTATGAAGCGAGTGCTCAACCACTACACAACTACCGCATATAATATATATATATATATATATATATATATATATATATATATATATATATATATATATATATATATATATATATATATATATATATATATATATATATATATATATATATATATATATGTATATATAGGCGGAGGTGTATTTGATTCACGTGTGATTAAAACGATGATTTATTTTAGGCGTTTTTTAATTGAAATTAACTAAGAAATACCACCCTCCCCTAACCCCGTGAATCAAATACACCTCCGCCAATATATATATATATATATATATATATATATATATATATATATATATATATATATATATATATATATATATATATATATATATATATATATATATATATATACACATATATATAGTTAAAAAATTAGTTATGAAAAGAATTCATTAGAATTAGGATAATTTTAGTTTGGTCATTTGTTTTCTTAATTTTTTTAAAAGTTACTTATTTTTGTGTTTGTATTTAGAAATTAATTCAGATATTTTGTTTAGTAAATTTTCTTGATACAAATGAGTAATAATTGCAAATATTTGATGTAAACATAGCATACATTTTTTGGTAATGTTATTATACAACGAGAGTATTTAGAATAGACCAGTTTTTTGAGCAGATCAGTTTAATTTATAATAATTTTTTTTTGTTTTAGTTTCCATATATATTTTGAGAGCATAGTCTCTTTTAAGTATTTTTATTTTTGAAAGATTGTTTGTGGTTGCCATAACGTTTTTTCTATTTGCCCTTGGTTAAGCTGATATATTATTTATCAGAGTTATTTTGTGAGAAAACAATGCATTTTTTAATAACATTGTTTGATAAGCATTTGCCATTTATGTGGCATTCATTTTTTTGTTTGCAATCACATTTTTTAGTATTTTTTCTTTGAGAAATTCATTCCTATTAATCAAAGCAAAATTGTGACTTTTTATAATTCGTAAAATATTTTTTGTACAGCTATAGGTTACTTTAACAGTATTTGTGTTTTTGAAATTTGGAGTAATTTATTAGATGGAGATGCTACGTCGACTATCTTATAGCCTACAACTACAAAGAATTACTGCTACAGCAACTTATAGCCTGCTGCTACAAGCTTATTATGCCTAACTTAAGCCTGCTGCTATATATATATATATATATATATATATATATATATATATATATATATATATATATATATATATATATATATATATATATATATATATATATATATATATATATATATATATATATATGTATATATACATACAAATATGATTTTAATTTACATGTACTAATATTAGAATTTATTTTAGCTACGCATTCAGTGTTACTGGGTATAAAACAATCGAGTCTTTACGAAACCCAAATGAAGTACTTGGTCAAAGAAATGCCTTAAGTCAAATTGATATCAATCAGCTGAATAAATACTACAATTGCAAATCAACAACTGTCACAACAAAACCATCAAGTTTGTTTTCAGTTTATGTTTTTTACTAGAAGTTTTTGCTTTATCTTCAAACTTTTATTTTAATTCATAACTGTATATTATAAATTAATTTGTAGTAATGCTTGGTTATGGAGATAATTGTTTTTTTTATTATTTAGCATGTGAAGATGGTATATATTTATGTCGTTTGGGAAACACATGGTGTTCAAAAGATGCATATTACAAGAATAACTGCAAAAAGACATGTAATCTTTGCAAGTAACGTAATAATATGTAAATGATGGATAAAAAACTCAATGATTTTTTGATTTTAAAATGATTTAATGAAGAATGATAAATAGATATCTTTTTAAAAATTTTTTTTTTATATTAAAACAAGCAGTAAGCGATCCCGATTACCGGATCGCTTACTGCTTATTAAATAAATCAACAACGACAATTTAACTTAGTATATAACATCTGAAAATTATAATAAAATACAAATTTATCTATATCTATTTAGTTCTGCTCGCTTTTAGTTAACGACATTAAAGACTCATAAGATCAGTTATCAGTAAAAACAAGCTTTAAAAAAATACCTAAAATACCTAAGAACTTAATGATAACATAAAAAGTTCCATTATTTTGATCCTTTTATGATAAACCCCCAATAAAGAAAAAGAGAGAGGCTGACAGGGTTTTAAAAGCACTGTTAAATTCACTTAAATAGACATACTACAAATCATAGAGATTTATAATTGATATGATAATAAGTATAAACAAACGTCAGCAACAATAATAATTACGTTTATACTAGGGATGCCACTTTTACTTATTTTGATGTAAAAATGCGAATTACTTTTAAGCGTAAATTTGCATTAGGGGAGAGTATGCACCCATGATCCTAAAAATCTATCAGGCCAACTTACTGAATATATGTTTTTATTTCAATCTCTAAACTAACAGTACATAATAGCAAATTTTATACCTTATTATAATTCAATTATCATTTTTTTACCAGAATATTTTAAGTAGATTTAAAATTATAAAAACTAAGAATGCTCAATTAGGATCATGGGTGCATACCAGTATGCTCCCTTGATCCTACCTATATGCACCCTTGATCCTATGTATGTATACTTGATTCGAGATCAAATGTATATTGTATAAGATTAATTTTTAAGTCATCAAAACAATGTCTATAATAAAAACCAATAAAGTTATTATTAATTTTACTACAAATTTATCTTTCTTAAAAAAATAAAAATTAACGAAAAAAATGTTATTTTTTACTGAGACTCAACGTTTTTATTTTCATTACTTTCAAGATCCAGTTTTCTTTTTCTTGTCATGAAGATCTTAATTTGCATTTCATGTTTTTTCTTTTTTGACTGAGATTTTTTTTTTTATTTCCTGAAGCTTGTTTAACTCATTTCGAACAGGAGTGTCTGTGAGTATTCGAGTACGCTGACGGTTACGTCCTTTAATGGATTTCCTTGATCCAGCTTTTGGAAATGGCCTAAATTTTTCTAGACTTGCTTGATGAGAGATATTATTAGAAACACTGGATAGTTGACTTCCAGGGTCAGATATAGGCTGAATAGGCAATACACTACAAGCTGAACCAGATGACAGATTGAGTTTCCTATTGCATTGACTGCACAACAAACTGTTACCAATGTCCCTCTTTCTGCTGAAGTTATCCTTCCAACTTGTTTATCTCCTTTTTTAGCAATTACTTTAACTGGTTTTTGAACAGTTGTGAGACCTGTCTCATCAACATTATACATGTTTTGTGGCTGAAACTTGTGTCGTAGACGAACATCTTTTAGATTGGTAAAAAATTCTCCGACTGTATAACAATTAAAAGCAGTTGCTCGTGCCATACTAGTAGCTTCTGGATTTCTTAAAGATAACTCATTCCTACGTAACATAAAACCACGAAGCCACTGTTTCCCAGCAATTTGTAAACTTTTCCACGATTTAGGAATGCGCTTAGAAAGAGTCATTGCAAATTCATAGGCAAGTTTTCGTGTTGTTTTGGTTGATAATCCATAGTGAAGTTTTGAGGCCCTTAAAAGATAATCTGATAAAGATGTTTCTTCTTCGTTGGTAAAGATTTGCATGGTAATGAAGTTAGGTTTGCAGACTGTATATGGATTTAATTGACATTTCCTTACATATCTCTTAAGTGTCATTAAATTGATTCCCCTCTCTTTAGATACACGATAAACTGTACTACCATTAAGAACTGCATTAACAGCTGCTCGCATTTCATTCTCATTAACTTTACCTCTAGGTAGTCTATTAGTTTTTCGTTTTTTATGATACACCATATTTAACTGTAAAAAAATGAAACATATTTATATAGTTTTGCTATATTCCTAATTTTTGGATAAACATTTATAAAGATTTTTACTTACTAAAATCTTCTTTATTAACAAACACGCACAGATATATATATATATATATATATATATATATATATATATATATATATATATATATATATATATATATATATATATATATACATATATATATATATATATATATATATATATATATATATATATATATATATATATATATATATATATATATATATATATATATATATATATATATATATATATATATATATATATATATATATATATATATATATATATATATATGTATATATATATACTTAAGTTACTTCGTTATGAGTAACTGTTACTTGAAAAAGAAATTTTCTTTTACAAGTAAAAGTTATTTGCATTTTTACTTTTACTTGTAAATGTAACTTACTTTTAATAGTAAGTCGTGTAAAGTAATTTACTTTAAAAAATAATTTTTATTATAATTATATCAAAAAATTACATCGAAATGTAATTTACTTTATATATGTAAAAAAAAGTTATTTATGAAGTAAACATACGTAAATAAAATATTTAAAAAACATAACACTGAGTTTATAAAGTAAAATAAAACAACAAATTACTTTTACGTGTAAAAGTAAAAACAGCTTATGTAAAAGTAATTACTTTTATTTATAATTGTAAATTGTTATTTACAATTATAAATAAAAGTAAATTTTTCTTTGAAATTTTATACTTTACTTTGTAAGTAAGTAAAATGTAGGTTATATTATTTACTTTCTCAAAGAAAAGTCATTTCATGTTGATTTAACATAAATTTTGAAATAGGTAGCGTATTCAAATCCATTGCCTATTTGGAGGCACTTCTGGGTAACACTTCAGATCATACTCTGACGTATGTTGGGATTGTTTATGGCGGAGCATCGGTAAATGATTTTTTTTCACGTACATCACAAAGAGTAGTTCTATTATAACTAGGGGCAAATATAGTCAATATGCTGGTATACCAGTAGTGAAAAGAAGGGCTCCCTGCCGCATGAGTGCTAATAATGGCTGCTAAATAATCATTTTTTTTTTTTTTGTTGTTGAGCAGAAACAGTTAGTGGCCACAATAAAAATTCGGCGGGAGGAAAAGGGGACATAATTTCTAAGCTATCGGTAATTCATGAATGTGTAAATCTTGACTAACTATTCACTTACTGTTAGTTAGAGTACGCATTTCTCCAGGTTTTTTCTTTGTATTTGCCTTTTCAATCAAGTATTTTTTTATAGTAATATGACGCAAAATAACATATTTGGTATCCGCAAGAACATCGACTGCTGAAACAGTTTTCAAAAAATTATAAGTCATTTAAACTATCTGATATAATTTGTATGACTAAAGATGTGTTTATCAGATAAAATCTTTTATTGTGTTTTATAATGTATATTTTATTTGAAAAATAATGGTAAGGAAAGCTGTTTAATCTTCTACTGTTGGTTGTGAGCACACTAATAAACTCTTTTTTGTTGCGTTGGTGTTCAACCCGCACAAGGATGATTAAAAAAATAAAATGTTATTCAATTAAATTTTAGAATAAAGTGCTTTAGAATAAACTTGTATTTTTATTTCAAACTTTTTTTTTTAATTTTATTTTATCTTTCAGACTTTACTTTGATTTTACTAAACCTTGACAACATTTGTAGTCCCGATGAACATGCATGTTTAATTTGTTTCCTGAGCAAGCGGGCCTTACCCTTATTTTTTTCTCTCTAATATTTTGTTTTTGAAAAAAAGCTTGAAAAGGCATTTAAATGCCTTTTCAAAGCTTTTTTCAGAAATTAATACTAAAACAAAAAAATCAAAATGAATATTTTTTTGATTTAATTGTTTTAGTATTAATTTTTTTGTCAGGAGGAAATAGGTTAGTGGCCCTGATAAAAGTTTACCTTTAAGGAGCCGGGCGTATTTGTAGCTATACTATTTTTTGCTTCTCTTTCTGCATGGTCGTTGTTAGGGCCTTCCCGACAAAAAAAAAGTACTCAATATTTGACATTTGCCAACTATACTTCAAAACTTGCCAATTGAAACGCTAAATGTACAAATAAGCAAACTCAAATGCATATATAACATATAAATATCGCGTGAAAAAATGGACCGTATCAAGACTATGTTCCAAATATCGTTCTACGGGGAAGTTGGCAGCAGATAACAATGGTGTAAGACCGCGTTCCACCACTTCTAGAGAGGATTCTATGATTGTCAGATCCGTCTAGAAGGATCCCTGGATATTATCAGTCGAGATACAAAAGCAATTAGAGCTGCCGGTATTGGACCGAACAATCAGACGACGTGCTGTTGAAGCCAGATTGTTTTCTCGACACCCTGCAAAGAAGCCGCTGATTTCACTAAAGAACTAGGAGAAAAGACTTCTGTTTGCTGCATCTCATATTGACTGGAATGTGCAGAAATGGCAAATTGTTCTTTTCAGTGATGAATCGAAGTTCAACATTGTTGGGAGCGATGGCATTTGCCGTGTACGTCGACTGGCCGGAAAATGCCTCGATTTATGTTACTGCCATAAGACCGTGAAGCATGGTTGAGGCAATGTAACGATTTGGGGGTGTTTTTCTGCTAACGGTCTAGGTCCAATACATTGAATTGATGGAATAATGGAACGTTTCATGTATAAAAAATATCCTAAAAGATGTTATGTTACCTCATGCTGATTGGAATATGCCAATAAAATAGATTTTTCTGCAAGACAACAATCCCAAACACACTGCAAAAGTAGTCAAGCAGTGGTTTCAAGACAACCAACTATCGGTGATGGATTGGCCGCCTCAATCTCCGGATCTCAACCCTATCGAGAACCTGTGGGAGATTGTCAACCGCAGAATTATTCGTGAAGGTGTTCGTAATAGGGATCAACTGTTTGAATAAATCCAAAAGGCCTGGGCAGCGTTTCCACAAAGTTTTATTAATCACCTGATCGAATGTATGCCTCGAAGATGCAAGTCTGTGATCGAAAACA